AATAATGTAAATGCAATTTTAAAAATAGGCTTACTATAAGTGGGCCATAGTGAGGGTGACCCTATGTCCCACTTGCCCAGGGCAGTTCCAATTCAGGCCACTGTCTGAGAATAATAGTACCTCTTTTACTCTCAGGAGTGGCCCAGTTTGGGTGATAAATTACATGGTCACACTAGCTACAGCTATAGCTCTGCCAGCACAATCCCTCCCTCTCCTACAAATTCAAAATGCAAAAATGGTTTGCAATTAAACCATATAACAAGTGTCAATTTCATAAAAAAAATTTTACCACAAAACTATAGTAAATACTAAGAGCTTTGATTCTAGAAGAAAAGCCATATACTCAGAGATACGTGTCTACCTAAAGAGTCCCAAGTATTTTCTATTATAACAATGAATCAGAAACCTCATATTCTTTCTAGAGTCCAAACATGATTTTAAAGTCACCGTTAAAATGCTTACAAGTTTAAAGACAGCGAGATTTTTATGAGGAAAACGAAAAACCAGAATCACTGTAAAGACCACTGTCAGTCAATACACTGGGCTATTGTACTTTCCTCTTCCTGTTATGCAAACACATGTGCAAGAAAATCTGTAAAAATCAGCTTGCCTGACTCAAAGATTTGCAGCGTAAACATTTTTTAGAGTAGTAATTTTGTGTGGCCTTCAGCACCTACATTTCAAACCTTACGTAAAATGACTTCATATATTATACTGATTCCACCAGAAATGATGACATTAACTTTTAGCATCACATGATAAAGATTCAGTATAGTTACCATTGTAATTTGAGAGAACTCAAGACACGCTGATATTTCATTGACATTTCTTGCCACTGACGGAGAACTTGGGAAAGATAGCTTTTAAAGCAGTAGCACCTCTGATGTTAACCAAATAAACTACAAAATATAGGCTAAAATAACTTTCAGTATCAAAACTGAAAAGCCAAATACTATACCTGTTATATGATAGACAGAATTAAACCCAATTCCAAATCTTCCAACCTTCAAAGGGTCGTCCTTCTTCCTGCTCCTTGCTATTTCCTGAATGCCATGCCAGTCCTCCGGGGTGAAAACCGCATTGTTGTACACGTAGAGAGCTGGCCCTGGACGGTACGACACACATGCAGGGGTGGACAAAGAAGTGAGCCACAGCGTTCAGCTCTCGGTCAAGAACTTTCTCTGTATAACATTGCTTATTTGACGGGAAGACGGAAAAAGTGAATGGAGTGACTGAATTCAGCATTACAGTTTGGTTATTTTCACAATAAAAACAGAAATACGAATTAATGGAGAAAAATTACAGGCAGAAGAAATATGATATTGTTGACCAAAAATCCAAAAAGGAAAAATTATGGTACTTAAGACACTCAAAACAGGGCAACCAAGAAAGTCAATCACAGTATACTACTTTGTAAAATTTGTTCCTAAATTGCTTGCTTGCTTGCTTGCTTGCTTATGTAAATGGAATTACTTGTAAATGTACTGAGAAGAGTTGCTATCCAAAGAAACCTTGTTAACATATTATTTCATGAGGTGAAAAATAATCCTTCTCACATGCCTATGAATTCAAGCACAGGTACGACAGTGTAGGCTACAGTCTGTTTTACAAAAATGGTGTGACTGCTATTTGCAAAGTAGTCAAAGCAGGGATACGAGAATAGCCAAGGCTTTTGTCGGCAGGACAAGCACTCAGAGGCCACTTCTGCCAACCCTCGGCCGAGGTGTATCCTCCCCGGGGGGAGCTCTGGAGGTCCCCGACTTCACGCCTCCTTCACTTGTGTCTCTTAATTAACTATACTCTTGACATCCTTAGTAAAGTGTGAAACTGGGTAAGATCTCTCGTTTTTCTTCATCAGATTAGACATTCTGAGCTTTTTGTCATCTCATCATATAAAAAGGAACTAAAGTAAGTTGAATTCAAGAGTTCTCATCTACAACACTGTCAGTAAAGGGAAAAGCTGCAACCCAAGAAGATGGTATCAGCCAAGACACTGCTCGCACCTGATCGCAAGAGAAAGACGCCCTCAAACACCAGCAGCGCGGAGGGCCCTCAAACGCCTGTCAATCAAAGAGCCCAAAGATCACGTCCACCTCCTTTTGTACGTCCACATTTTTTAAAAGCAGTTGATCTGACATCACTTTAAAGAGCCTCTCTCTAAGTATGCTTACATCCAAACTCAGCTAAACAATCTTATTTCAAACTTTTCTTTTAATGAGGGCTAGAAGCAAAACTTTCTACATATGAGATAGATTTTGGAAGTGAAATATTTCCAGGATCTTCTCACACTCTCACCTTTATGGTTTGATAGCACTCTCACAATATCCGTATGACACCAGACATAAAACGTCGTTACGTACGTGACCTGACGCAATCCTCCGAGAACCTGGGAGGAAGGCTGTGCTCTTATTACCAGTCAGTAGGTGCGCAGACTGCAGGTAAGCGAGGCCCAGCACTCTGCTTAGTCACAGTGAGTAAACATGAGGGTCAGAGCTGCCCCTCGACACACCAGTGCCCCGTGGAGATGTGTAACAGGGTAACGGAAGTCCCTCGTACCCACACTTGATATCTTACACCAATGATTACATTAAATCATAGCATCTTAGAGCCAGGAAACCTGACTGGTTTAATCCTCTCATTACAAAGATGAACCATGGAGGTGAGATGACCTGCCCAAGGCAGGAAGGTGGCAGGAGGAAAGACTAGAACAAAAACCTCCTGACGTATTACATCTCATTGCATCTCCGCGTGAAACTTAAAAATGCAACTTTCATATCACAAATGTGACCTAAGAATAAACATATTAGCTATAATAAATGCTAAATATTTAAATATTTAACAATAATGTTGTTATCCTCCTAAATCACAAAACCTCTTTTAAAAAATAAGCAACTCACATCTCTTTAAAAACATGTCCAGGCAAGTCTGAGCTGATCCTCCCTTTCCTCAATAACTTCTCCCACGTATAGTCATTCACAACCATCCTGCTGGCTTTATGCTGCACTGAAAGTTATGACTATTCTTTTCAACACAGCACTTCAGAGTGCAGGACTTCCGGAGCCCTTGTATTGGTTGTGGTTCTCTTACTGTCTTTTCTTTCATTTTCTTCATCCACTTCTCTCCAAATGCATAGAACTCTTCTATTTGGAAATGGTGTCCTTTTGTCTTGCTAACGATATAAAACACTTCAACAGAGTAAGAGGCTTATGTATTTACATTGCTTAATACTTCGAGTTTCAACATTTTCATTCTTTGGTCTGTAAAAATTCCAACTAGCAGAGATACCTGTCCACGAAAAGCAGAGAAAGCCTGAAGGAGTGGAGTTAAATATGCCAAGAAGTAAAGGACCAGCAGTAGCTAGACTGTTCATTAAGCACTGGACTGTAAGATACTAGAAATCAGACTAGTCCCTGACTGATGATTGGTTCTTACCCTGATACTGAGCCATGTCTTCTGACCAAAGGGTCTCTGTTCCATACTGAGTTTCATCGTACAAAAATTTAACTTCTGTGGCCCCAGCATCTTCTGCATTCTGAATCAATTCCTGGTCAAGAAATACACCAAAAATAGTAATATTTAATCATACAGTAATCCACTGCCATCTCTGTATATACCTCTAATATTTAAAAAGTAATCACACGTAAGGAAAGGAAACCCGCTATCTGCATCATCACCAAGACGTGAGAGGAACTGCTACAGAAACAAGGCAGCACGGCCGAGAGGACCACGAATCTTCTCCAATTATACACACCAAAAATGTGGTTTTCTAACTTGCTATCTCTTAGCTTCTAAACACAAATCCTGAAACTATTTACAACTCTGTCTCTTATTTACAGTCAACAATTTACAAAGCCTCCTTTCAAAAGAAATCACCCTATCTCCAAAAGCTGCACAGGATGCTCTTCATTCTCCGGTGGTTTCCAAAACAGACCTTTATTTATTACTCGCTTCCCAGACTTCCTTTCCCTTAGAAAACAATGTGTCAGTCTGCATGTGCTTTAGGATGCTAACTAGTATGCTGCATCCTGAAAATCTGACAGAGGAGCATGTCTCTCTCCTGTACTAAGAGAAAAGTTCCTTTGGGGTCAGAAACTGACTCATCATTTTCATAAAGAACGCAGTAAATTCCCGCTTTGGTGGATGGGGGGGTGAGTGGGTGGGTGGACGGGGAGTCAGGCTCTGTAACATAGAAAGGGAAGGGCAGACTACAAGACTCACACCCCTCACTAGCCTTACAAAGTCCCCCTTTCAACACCACAGTCACTTTGGTGCACCCACCAAAAGCATGCTGGGCTCTGGGCCATCAGGGGGGAGCTCCAGACTCTGAAATAAGAGTCCAACTCCTAGAGTCAAGACCATAATCATCAAACTCGGAATGAACTCCAGAGATACTATCCCTAGCTTAGTCTGAAGTAAGAAACAGGTGACAATTTCCTGGATGAGCCGTGACTTGGACCAAACCAAACCAAGTGGTTAAATGGATGGGTCTTTAGACATAATAATCCACCCTGTACTAGAACACGCATGGACCTCTAACTCTGAGGAGCACCATTTCTTCTTCCCAGCACTCTGAAGTCACTAGACACGGGGCAGGGGCGGGCAAGAGCACAGAGGACACACACTGATACCTCTCTACGGCAGCAGCAAAGCCCCTGCACTGGAAGGTGCAGCCGAGGAGCTGGTTTTGAGGCCAGGTCCGTGGTCAGCTCACCCAACACACACCAAAAGGCCGGGTAGGGGGTGCCCAATTCCACCTGCTGTTCAACCCCAACACGAACATGACCACACCTCTACCTACCTCCTCATCAGCTACCCAGTCTTCCTGTTTACACAACTGCCTACTTCTCACAGGATTTTAAGACCCATTCCCACTTCATTTAGTCTAACAGAATCCCTAAAATTTAGCCATCTTATTTACATTAGGATATAACATAAACTAATATTAAAGGTAGAAATAAAAGTTAAATAGGGAGCAAAATACCAGTTTAACTTACAAATGGCAGCACTTCAGAGGCTGATCTTGCTTGCATCTGGATAGCTATTTGTGATTTCTGTGCATTTTAGGGAGCAGAGGTGAAGAAAACTAGAGATAAAATCCCAAGTCCCAGGTTCCAATTATCAGTCTCAAATTGGACAAAAAAATTGGATGGGGTGACTCTTCTCAGGGGATCTCTTTCAAACTGATTCTGAGAAGAAGAGGCAATCAATGTGCCAATTTGCATAAGACCCTGGGCTAGTCGCTAAAATATCTCTGGACCTATTTCAGCAAACATCACAAAAGGTTGTGGTCTAAGGCTAGGTGATTCTAAGACTCCTATTAAATCTAAAACAGTCGAATTCACTAAAATATCCAAGGAACAAAACTTATACTGTGTTGGCTGGCACACAATGAGCAGAGTGGAAGGACCACACACCAGCTCTTGCCAACTCTGAAACGTTCTAAGCCCCTGCTCGTGACCACTGCCTCGTCCCCCAGTGGGGTCTCGCTCACGCACTTCTGAACTGATGAGACCCCACTAAATCCTACTTTAAATTTATTCTGCTTGCCTCTCTCTACCCCCATAACAACCCAGTAACAACACTCTTCCCATCTTCACTTTCCTGATATCTCAATATAAAAAGTTTTCAAATTAGCCCTCCATGAACCACTGATGTCTATTCTGAAAGATGGACTTACACTGCTCCACTACGTTGTCATTATTAAAGTCCCTCAAGATGCAGCAGTCCTCAAGCAGCATCTGAGCATGGCCATTTGCTACTGAAGGCAAGTTAAAGAGAATAAAGTGCTTATTCTCTAAAATTTTACCACCTAAACTAGAAAAGATAATAAAGGCTAAGATATGGAAGGTTTTAAACACAAAGTAATGAGAAAAAATGCTTAATAATTGATCTACTTTTACAATTAATTAAGGAGGTTTCTTATTAAGCTTAAACACAAAATATAATTTTTGCAATATCTTCCGTTATTACTTTCTTTTATGGCTGTTCAGTTTGCTTTTTTTATGAGTGTACTCAAACTGAAAGAATATATTGTAAATAGAAGTACTTAACCAAAATAATTATCCTTTTAAATAAACTCTGTCAAAAAGCAAACTTCTAAGTCCAGGGCAGTCAAGCAGGCATGGGCTCACGGCCCCTGGGTGTGGGCTTTGTATTATTTTATTTGGTCAGCTGGTTGGTGGTACATGAAATTCATAAAATTACATTATGTAATTACAAAAAATTACAAAAGTGTTCCTAGAGCAACACTGCTTGATTACAGCACACAGCAGCCGGGGGCTCCTCCGCCCTGAACCCTCATGTGGTTGTATATACACTGACTGCATCTCAGCCCAGCCCATCCAGCATGCGCACTGCAGGCGCAGAAGGACACAGGTACAGCCGTTCAAATCCAGAATCTCTGTCATGTAAATGCAAATAGAACCTCCCAGTGATTTTACCCCATCTCGTTTTCACTAGTGTGGATGCACACACGCACACAACTACCTACCTTAAGAATCTGTCCTCCTTCAGGATATCTTCTTAAAATATCCTTGAGAAAATCAACAAGTGGTGGAGTTGTTTGACCAAATCGACCTAAAATACAGAACACACTTAGAGTGACTTAGAAAAAAACTCCCCTGGCCTGCTACCAACGTGTTACCTGGTTCTAAGACAGGAAAATTACACAAGTTCTGACTTCACACGTCTCACTGCGGCACTCCGGCATGAAAACCCACCTGACGAAACAGGTCCGGCAGGACGTAAAGCAGATTCCATTTATCAAATCTCAAGATTTTTAATCAAACTACAAATTAGGTTTTATTAAAATGTTCAAAATATACTATATGTCACGTAAGATTATTAATTCAAAAATAAAGAGCATGGTGGTATTCTATTTGCCAAAGAAAATGAAATAAATGGCACCGTCTTGTGGGTGCTTAGCCACTAAATAACATGCCACAGATGGTGGCACTGTTAGGACATTCTTAAAATTCTCAAACTCAACCAGTGTTCTGGTTGTTTTGAAATTCAGCACGGTCACTGTCTCAATGGCTATCCAATTCAAATACACTAAGTCTTCCCCAAACTGGAGATTCTCAGAACTAACCAACCAGGTCACCTTCAGACAGGTGACACCAAAGTGGAGGGAAAGGGAGAGAAGTAATTTCTCGGATGCACGGAATAAAAAAAATCTGTTTATAAGTAAAAAAGAAATCTGTGCTTACAACAAAATCACCACTATACATTTATCTGCATCACTTTGGTACAACTAATCACCAAGACCAAGCATCCGCAGGACCAAGGCCATGGGGCTCTGCCCACAGACTGCTCCACCCCAGCCACGCTTCCAATTCGCAGGCTCCGCTCCGCCCACCCTCCTCTTCCTCTGGCCCCGACATCCCCTCATCGCATCCCAATGGTATGTTCTTTCATTTCACTTTTAAATCATGATCTTTATGTAACTGAAAATGGCATTTATTCCTGGTAAAGTCAATATTATACCTCCTCCTTTTAAGCCTTTTGATTGAAGGTTTACAAAAAGATGACCATTTTTGGAAGTCAGATCTCCAATCTTGATCCAGTCGGATAACTGAAAAAAAGAAAAGAAAATGTATGAAAAGCAATATAGTTCCTAATTCTGGAAAGTCAAAACTTTACCTCATTTTTTTCACTTAAGAAATAATGTTTGTTAAGTGTTCTTATCAGGAAATAAGCTGTTCTGAAGAAGTGAATATTCTAAAAAACAAAAATTTAGTCAAAAATTTTATTTAAAAATTAAAATGATTTTTCCTTAAATAATTACAAATAGGTAAAGATACACACATTTCTGCTTTAAAATACTTTAAATTTTTATAATGAATCAGGATTATCAATGTAAACAAAGTCCCTCTTTTGATCAGCATTTCCAAAGTGTATTACTTACAACAGAGCACCATGGGATTCAATAGATCTTAGAGAACCAAAAAAAAAGTTTTAAAATAGTTGGAATAATTTCGTTTTTAGGGCATTTAACATACCAGTATTGTGGTAACTTTCTAAGAAAGGATTAGACTACATGGTATTTCACAAATTTTAGCAGTAATTTTTTTTTCATTTATTTTCAAAGAGCATCTTATAAGTTATCGTTCCTAGAAATACACTGGAAAACCGCTTATAGTTGTTGCAATAAAAGAGGTGTGATGTGAAAGGGAAAGACAAGTGAGGACCCCAACCTCTGAGGCTGCTCTGGGCTGTAATGTTCCCAGCTGGCTGTCCTGAAAGAGGCCTTGATACTCATTCTCTGGTGACTATTCTGTCTCTCACGAAGGCAGGGTACAATGTGTGTGATCACGACCCACAGGAGCAAGGTAACAGAGAGCCTTTTTTGAAAAATGAGGTAAATAATCCAAAGCCAGACCCACTTCTCCCCCGCAGGCCACTCTTAACTGTTACTGTGGGGGTGACTTACAAGTCAACAGTCTGCAAAACATTACTCAAATGCTCACCTCAAGAACCACCTCTGTAACTTACTCTTGACAGAGGTGAAAGGCCTCGCTCGCCACACCAAAGCATCTCTATTTCCGACTGTCCGCCACACATCTCATACCAATACCCCCAGGGTTCCCAAAGCTCCTGCTGCCAAAAGGCGGCTTCACTAGTTTTCCTCCAGCGTTCACCTCCCATCTTCTCTGCATGTCAATTAACAGTGGCACCTTCTACCTGGTGGCTTCAATGGGAAAGCTCAGGGAGAAGCTCTCTCCCCCAAGTCCAGTTAATCCTCAGGTCCCAGCATGTCCATCCCCATTCCTGTCATACTTAACTTGCTCTTCCCATTTCCAATTACTCAGACTCTCAGCATCTCCTGGATGTTTATAACACTCTCCCATCTGGTCTCCTTACTGTCTATACAACATCTTCATTCTAGTCCCCATTTCTAGAATACAAATCTGAATACAGTGTTAACAGCTGTTACAGTTCCCAGTTTATAAAGCACTTTCACATACATATTCCCACAGAATCTTAAAGCAAGCCTGTAAAAAATTCCATGCACAGGAAGTATGGATAAGAATAATCATAACACTAATATTGTTAACAACAAAAATTTAGAAACAACCCAAATTCTATGACATATTCACACAGTGGAATGTTACACAGCAATGAAAATGACCTAACTAAACTACATAAATTTGGGTGAACTTTCATAACATAATATTGAATAAAAAAGCTAATTCCCAGTTGCTACATAGCATAAGCTTTTTACAAAGTTCACAAACAACTAACAGTAAACAGTGTATTACTTAGGTAATACACATACACATAGGATAAAGTCACCAAAACAACTACAAAAAAGGCAACAGGACAAAACACACAAAGGGGTCAGAGGAAAGAGACAGGCATACAGGCTGGGGAGGAGAAGCACCGAAGTGAAGAGAAGCCGTTAGCAGCATTCTCATTCTCCAGCTGGATCATGTCATCACAGTGTTCCTTCTATTAATTAACTAATTAATTACTTAAAGAGAGATATGTATAAGTCAAGGGTTAGTAGTCCAATTCTGTTAGCTAAGGAACATTCAAAGAAGAAAGGCAGAGAGGAAGGAAGGAAGGAAATCTATAATGCAGGGAGATCTTTCCAGGTCTTAAAGAAGACTTGAAAAGCAAGAATACATGGAGTGGAAACTTGTTAGTGAAAACAGACAGAACTGGCTAAGTGAGTCTGATGAAGAATGCTTTTGATAGATTGTAATCAGTGGCCTGTCTACAGGGAAGTGGTTCTCGCAGAGAAATCAAGCAGCAGAGATAACCTCATTAGCTCAGCAGCGCTACCTGCTTTCTCCTCGTGAGCTTGCCAGGATTTGGGGATTCTGCTTGGGTCTCTCTCTCTGAACCATAAATCACTCCACCAAGCAAAGTGACTTTGGTCATGTTCATCTCCAGAGGCAATGAAATCTTTGTATTTTGTTTTTAAAACAGAATGATTATAAAATAATTTGAACATCAGGGTCTCTATCCAGGCCAGTCTCAATGTCTCTTAAAAACCTTAGAGATGTTCATTTTCATTTACTATGAAATAATAAACTCTCTCCATATTGTTAAGCAAATAGTACAATATTAATTGCAGACCTATAGCTGCCTGTTGACTACCATGCCCTACACTCTTACATAACAGAGACCTTAGAATTGGTTAGAATTCATTTTATCCCATTCCTACCAGAAACAGGAGAAAAGATTCTAACGTGTTACCTAATTTGGCCTGTTACACTGGGTCTTCACCCACAGCTATGCTCTGCCATCAGCTCAACCATGTGTAAAAGCAAACTGATTACCACTGTCCCCCAAACCTACCCTTCTCTGAACCTGTTCATCTCTGCTCACTGGACCATTATTTTCCTGGTCTGATTCAAGGCTTGCAAACATTCTTGACAAGGTCTTCTCCCTTCTACAACCAATACCCACCCCGACACTACCCCTTCCTCTGCTCACACAAATACACACATCCACTTGGTACCAAACTACCATATTTCTGTCCTTTCCAAAGTCCCCTGCATATCCTTTCCTTTCAGTTTCAGCTCTATTGTCAAAGTCTGGAACCTCACTACTTCATACTAGCACAAGTTTCCTAACCAGACTCCCACTGCCCGCCCGCTCGATCTGAAACACTTCACATCCACCATCACACCGGCCCACGCCGATGCTCTGCAGAGACACCTCCAAAAACACTGCTAACGACAAGACTGAGGCACAGCTGAGTCTTTGGGTATGACCACGTCTAAGGGATAAGATGACAAAGCAGAACCAGAGGAGTAACCAAATAAGTAGGTATGGAACCAGGAGAGGACACACAGGAAGGTCAAGACATGTGGCAGGGGCAGAAAAACAGGCAAGAATGACAAGCTTCCTTCCTCAATTCTGTCCAAAATCCTCAATCAAGACATTGTCTCCCACTGAACACCCTGGGGAACCAACCAGTAAGGAGGACTGATCCCTGGAGGAACTCAAGAACAGGTTAACCTAAAATCTGTGTCTAAGAGGGCAAGCGACCAGAGGGTGCAACCAGGCACGCAGAAGGCCAAGATTACACCGAGGGATTGAAAGTCACTGGCACCAAGCATTTCACCAGAATCTGTACTGGGTAGTAAGGAAATCAAATACTTGAAATGCCACCTCGTGTGGCTCAAGCATTCTTGTACATCTGGTTCAACTCTTATTTGCCTCTTGTACTATATAAAAAGTGAAGATATTTACTTTTAAGATGAAAGATTAAGTTAATTTTCATTAAAATGCTTCCGTTTAACTCCTCCTTTAAGAAAACTAGTATTTCCACCAATCTTAAAGGATATATATAATATGAAATACTCCTATTTTCCAAAGTTCTGATCTGCTAAGTCATTCACTTGCACCTCAGGAGATTTAATATAAATTTACTCCTCAAAATAACGGGTTCCATGAAGATCCTTTCAGTCCTAAATTTTCGTGATCCAGAGATGGGGGGAACGGAAGACATGAGGTCAAAGTACTGAGCTGCATTCCAGTTAAACGCATAACACAATCAGAAAAATATGAGTAATGATTAGGTCACTTCAATGATGATGGCTCCTAAGAAGCGAACCAAAAAGAAAAAAAGAAAATACCTCCGGCCATAAAGCCCATCAAGAGTACCGTAGTTTCAGGAAGTGAAGCTTCAGACAAAACGGGGGTGGGGGCGGGGGGTACACTGCTGAAGCGGCTCATCCACAGAAATCACAGCAGTGACAGGCACGCAGCCGCGTCACCCGATCGGCATTCACAAGGCATCATTTCCAGGGGGCAGGAGCCCGGCAGGCAGCCCCGGGCCCAGACCTCCTCCTCGCGCCCAGACCCCGTCCCCACCCCCGCCCACGTCCCCAGACCCCGTCCCCACCCCCGTCCGCGTCCCCAGACCCCGTCCCCG